AAAAAAAAAAAAAAGAAAGGCCCACACTGACTTCACCAACAGTAATTTAGATATAAATCTATACAATGAAAGACCATAGCAGATACACAAATAATGTGTTGAATAACGGAAGAGACAAACATACGCACGTGTATACGTACATGTGTATGGAGAGAGTAAGACAGGAAGAGAGATAAATAGACTTGGATCCAAAGTTTTGGGATCAAAGCAAATATACATAAATTTCAAACAAGCTTACTCTAAAGAATCAATCAGCTTCTTGGGATCCACAGGGGGCGGATAGACTACTTCATCAATATGCTTTCGATTGCAGTAGGCATAAGCTGTTGATACATGCATGAACACTTCCAGATTCTTCATTTGTTGTGCAAGGAGAATAAGCTGTCGTGTAGCAATGACATTTAACTGAACAGCATCTCTGCAAAAGAAAATGTGACAATGAAAAATTGGTAAGCTATGTTATTTATTTCACCTGTTTAAAAAATCTTATCTTCATTAGGTAGAAAGAGAGACAGAGATAGACTTTTGTTTGTTTAGAACTTGTCCTTCAGCTCTGATTTTGTGTATTTTACTTCAGTATGAAGTACATTCACTCTATCAACTATATTTAAAAAGAAATTTTCTAATTACAAATTAACTTCATTGTAGGACTTAAACAACAAAAGTACAAATTAAAAAATTATAATTACCCAGAAATAAACACAGATAATTTTAATCTAGACGNAAGTACAAATTAAAAAATTATAATTACCCAGAAATAAACACAGATAATTTTAATCTAGACGCCTTTTGAATCTTGACCTTTAAAAGTATAATCTTTCGTGATGTGGATATATCTCAAGGACTAAAAATTAGAATGGTTAAGTGACTTTAAAACGCTAAGATAGAGTCACCAATAAGGGTGAAAAAACCAAAGAAAACTCAGAAACATTATATTACATTAACATATAACCAAGTAATTTATTTCCCTCTCTGTAGCAATTAATCTAAACACCTTTTTAAGACTACCTTACAAAACTCAAGTAAGTGTTACGAGTAGAATAGTTCAATATTTCATCAAAACAAAAGACAGCCATTAAAATAATTATATGAAGACTATAAAAACATAGAAAATCTGTATGAATAATACAAAAAAAATGGAAACATTATGATTCGAAACATAAGGCTCTAGAATAAGACCAGGGTTCAAATACTGGCTTGGCCTACCTATCAGCTAGGAGTAAAGTTACAGGAGCACTCAGGCCTCAGTTTCCTCATCTGTACACAAGAACAATAATGGAATCTATTCACTAAGATTTGTATAAAATTAAATGAAATAAATAGCTTGCAAGCATTCAGCATTACTCCTTACAAAGTCCCGAAAACAGGCAGTCAATAGTTATTACTTAAGGCAATGAGATGGTGGGTAGTTTATGCTTTCTATTAAACTTTTGTTTATAGCTTGTTATTCTTTTTAAAAAGATTGATCAACAGATCTACTGTACAACATAGTGACTATAGTTAATAACGATGCATTGTATTATCGAAAATCTGTTTTCACCATAAAAAACAAGTATGTGAGGTAATGCATATTTTAATTAGCTCAATTTAGCCATTCCACATGTATACATATTTCAAAACATCATGTTGTATAAAATANATCTATTCACTAAGATTTGTATAAAATTAAATGAAATAAATAGCTTGCAAGCATTCAGCATTACTCCTTACAAAGTCCCGAAAACAGGCAGTCAATAGTTATTACTTAAGGCAATGAGATGGTGGGTAGTTTATGCTTTCTATTAAACTTTTGTTTATAGCTTGTTATTCTTTTTAAAAAGATTGATCAACAGATCTACTGTACAACATAGTGACTATAGTTAATAACGATGCATTGTATTATCGAAAATCTGTTTTCACCATAAAAAACAAGTATGTGAGGTAATGCATATTTTAATTAGCTCAATTTAGCCATTCCACATGTATACATATTTCAAAACATCATGTTGTATAAAATAAATATATATAATTTTGTCAATCAAAAAAATAATTTTTAAAAAAAGGAAAGAAAAGGTTGAAATACTCAATGCCAGTGATAAAACTGGCAAAGTAATATACTGCTGGTGACACAATAAACTGAGACAAGTGATCTGAAAACACTAAGACAAAGTACCAGGAATTATAGGAATGATGTATTTATTAATCTAGTTAACCTATTGAAATTAACTCAGGGGAAAAGCTTGTTCTAACCTTAATTTTTCAAACAAAAAGAAATTAAAATCCCCTAAATTAGTTATACTAATATTATATAATAACTGTGATATATCAACATAGTGGAATATTATCAAATCACTAAAATTATAACTATCAAAAAAATTGGAAATATGAAAGTTCTTTCTATATTAAATTTAAAAAGTAAAATTAGAAAGTCTAGGCTAACAATTATGTAAAATAATATATGTTCAACTATAGATTAACAGGAAATTTAAAAAAAAATAGTTTTGAGCACTTTTCAAAATTCATATATTTTCAGTATTTAAGAAGAAAAAAACCCAACTATTGTTTTAAAGGCCAAGGATGTGTCATGGATAGAATCTGGTCCACCTGACCATAAAGCAGTGCTTTGATGTCTATCACAGTTGCAAAACAATGGGGATGGGGAGGATACTGTTTTGGGAAAAGTATACAGAGAATATTCTCTTACAGGTTTCTAAGGACAGGACAACAAGTTCTGGGTCACCAGGAACAACGAATCGTTCATGAGAGGGGGAAAAAAAAACTCCTATGCCTTATTTTTTCTTTTAATTTAATTCCATCTGAGACCCTATAAAAACATACTAAAAGGAAATTTATTTTAGTAGTTGAGGGCTGGGGTCTTACAATCATGGATGTATCTTTTTATCTCCTTTGTCTCAATGAGTGGAAAAATCTGTTCAAATGGAAATCCAGCCAAGAAAGACATTTTACAGAGACGATACTGTCCACTAGACTATAAGGGAATGTGCTATTTTCTTTTGCATTTGCAAAACAATGGGGGTAGGGAGAGCAATGTTTTGGAAAAAGCACAAAAAGGATATTCTGTTACATGTTCCCGAGGATGGTGACAAAGTTTCTGGGTCACTGAAAATAAGGAATAATAATTTGAGAATAACATTCCTGCACCTTGACTTCCCCTCCCCCATTTGTACCTGACAGCCCACATCTGAAGCTATTTGTACCCACATAAGTAACTCTTAGTATCTTTGCCAGGCTAGTTAACCTCATTCTATTTCACCTCAATCCAACTTCTACTCCACTGAACTTCAGGCTGAGAACCTGACATCTTAGATAAGAAAGCATTTAGTACTAAACAATGTTCTCATTACGTTTTGGTTATATGGAGTTACAAACGTATCTTAAATAAGACAGGCCTTCAGGAGAGGAAACAAAAGGAACAAATCTTTATAATTATGATCCTTCACTAATGTAGACATAGAAACTATTTCCAAAAAAAAAAAGGAAAGAAAGACAAGAAAGCTCAACTTGAACTGCTGATAAATTTTCTTGTTTAACTGTCTTCTACAGACATCCTGAGTTCTTCCAGAATCTATATAGATAACACTTCTAAAGACCAGAGCTCTCATCCTTGGCAGAACATGCACCTGGAAACTTATTAAAAATATAGATTCCTGGAACTCATCCTCAGACACCTTTATTATCTGAAATGAGGCCTGGGAAACTACATCTTAAATAAGTTCCCCCAGGCCATTCTTTTTTTTTTCTTTTTGTTTTTTTTTGTGACCGGCAACGGATCACAACCCTCAGTGTCGCGCCCGTACTGGACTGGGACCGTTTTTGTTTTTTTTCGTGACCGGCAACGGATCACAACCCTCAGTGTCGCGCCCGTACCGGACTGTGACCAGCAATGGGATCGCAACCCTCGGTATTGCACCCGCACCTCACTCAGCCAGTGAGCGGCCGGTCTGTACGTGGGATCCGAACCCTTGGCGGGAACGCCGCCGCGCTCCCAAGCGGCGCACTGTAGCAGTGTGCCACCGGGCCGGGCCCCCCCCCCAGGCCATTCTGACACAATCTCTTTTACATTCTCCCCATCCCTGAGAAAATACTGCCTAGGTGAGATCTCACCAGTATTGTGACCACTTTTTTAAAAAACCTTAATGAATATACAGACACAGATGTTTTAGGACCAATGAATAACTATTAGGGTAAGATACCCAAGCATCTTTAATTTTAAAAATGTCTCCAAAGCTGATTCCAAGCAGAGTGAACGTAAAAGTGGAACACAAGGTCCAACAGCAACTAAATCACACCCAAGTCTCTTGCTAAAAATGAGGATTCCAAGATATTGTTCCAAAAGTATTCCAATATCCAAAAGATATTATTACAAAATGTATTCACAATACATTCTAAACTTTGAGAATCAATGCCTTTAGACTCGACAATTTCTTGATCTTTTTTAAACATTAATTGTCACTTCCATTCTTTTCTGAAAACCTACTTTCATATTCATACCCTGGTCCTTACCACCCAGAATTGCTCCATTTCTGAAATTTCATATTATAAATTTTCCCCAAACCACACCATCTGCCCACTCATCTCTCCCCTTAAGCCTGTTTTTTTTCCCTTCTCATGATCTGCAGTTTCTGGGCACTTCTTTACTCTCAACTCTATTGGCCTTTTCCTACCTTCACTTCCCTTATTACCCAAGGAATACCAAACCCCCTGGATCAACTACTTAAGTAACTCCCTTTATTATCCTCAATATAACTTCTCCCTTCACCTTTTGTCAGTATGTCTTTTTTACAATTCCTAATCTTGGTATCTATTTTTTCCCATCTCAAGATTTAGGAACTACCATATCTGAAAATAAGTTCTACCTTCTCACAGGTCTCACGGCACTTAATGCATGCTCTTTAGTACCTCCTTATTTTCTAGTCTATTTTATAATTATTTAAGCATATCCAATCTCCTCTATTTGATTACATGGACTATGTAATTTATCTTATGTGTAATTTATATTGGCTTTTCCCCACAATTTTGGGCCTAACACTGTAATACAATCTGAAGTTGTATTGTCAGCACCGCCCCCCCCCCCCCACCTCCCCCCCCCC